AAGGGGTTTCTGCTGTCACCCTGTGCAGGCCGACTAGGCTGTCTCTGGCCCAAATGGCCTTGGAGTAGAAAGCAGTCATTGTCAGCAGCAATGTCTGTGTCTGCTAGCTGCCAGTGGGTAGTGCTGGTTTCTGTCAGGAGTGTGCCTTTGTCATCTTTCCATGCATCATACTGTTGGAGATGGTTTGACTTGCACTGGGGCTGTAGGTGGATGGTGGGTAACACATGCTGGCTGCTTGGCCCCAGCCTCCAAAAAGCCTGAACTAAAATGAACTGACCAACAAATCAAGGACTCTTACTCCAGTATTTCTCTTACACACAAAGCAAAGTGTCACACTGGGGAAAAAAATTAAGTACTCTTGAGTGTGAGGAATAGTGGTTCTGTTACCATGCTGAATCATTGCAGCTGGAGAGGCCTAAATTGGTTCTATATGGTTAATATCTTAAGTCCAGTAGATGCTAAGGAGGTTGATGAGGAGATCTAAAAAGTATATTTAACATGTCCTTTAAAAGAAGGATTCTAGCTTTTCAGTAGTGATGGGTTTTATACTTGTCTGTACATTGTTCTCATGGGGAGGGGTTCGTGAAGGGAGGTGATGTAAAGGTACAAAGGCAAGCTATTGCAGAGACATGCTGAGTAGTCTCATTAAATGGACCAAAACAATTGAGAGGAGATAAAGAGCCTTTCCATTATGATTTCCCACACCAAGCTATTTCCAGTGTACAGAAAAGAGAGGCTGTGAACAGTGCCTTTGGATATGACTGAGTCATGCAGGTAGTCCATTAAGGCTTGGCCTGCATCCAGTATAGACGTATGATGATTTACTGGACCTGTGCCACAAAGATGGGTAAATCTTTGTCTAGTCCTGGTATTGATTTTCCTGGACAACTTATTTTTCTAGTAGCTTGCACAATAAAAAGACTTCACTGTGGTGAAATGCTTAACAGTTACATGTTTACAGCATGAGAACTTCAGGAAACAACAGACTGAGAAAATAAAGGACCAAGAAATCAGTTCCAAGGTGTATTTCCTGAAGCAGACAGTCAGTAACTCCTGCGGTACAATTGGTCTGATACATGCAGTTGCTAATAATAAAGACAAACTGAAGCTTGGTGAGTATGAATGACCTGAAATGCTTGAATTTCTTTTTTTAGTGAGGGGAAAATTGAGTGGGTATGGGCTGTGGGAGATACCTGGGGCATTCATGCAAGCCAGATTATGGCATGCTGTACTGCTTCACTTGGTAAGTGGGTCTTTTAATTCTTGGAGAGGGGCATGTGGTCTCACCTACTGCCTGTATTGCAGAAGGGAGTGTACTTTATCTCTGCAACCACCAGGCAGTAGTCTTCATCATAGTGAACAATATAAGAGGAAGAGAACATATAGTAGGACTGGCCAAAGTCTGTAATTAGGAACTGTCGTGTTCAGAAATAGCTGTTGGGGTTGATGTCAACTGAGGCGATAGTTCTTCATGTTACTTATGTCTAATAAAATCAGGCTGGCTCAGGGTAGCCTGTAAATCAGATGAAAACATGTTTTCTTTTGGGTGGGAAAGTAGTGTAAGAGGATAAGGGCCTGTAAGTAGACTTTTCCTGCAGAGGTAATAGTTTTGATTGTTCTCTTCCTATAGAAAAGGATGTAAAACTTGCTTAGGCAACTAGTGGCTGGAAACTCCTATGGAAGAGGATTACACCTTCTTGTGTTAAAAGGGTTGTCACTGAGTTCAGGGAGTACTTTATTCAAAGACTAGAGATCTGTAAAATAGAACTTAACTCTCATTATTCTGTAAGAACTTGGTTCCTTTTGGGTGGGGTGGGATTACTACTCATATGATTTAGAAACACATGGAACGCTGAGAGCAGCTTTATTTTATCCATCTTGAAAGGATTCTCTGAAATTACACACTCCTGATGAGTGACGTGAATGAGGCAGCACATCTTTCTTGTGAGACTACAACTTGGTGCATCTTAGTGCTGCACTGCTAACTTTGGTTTTCCAGAACGTAAATAAGCCTAGCACGCACAAGTGCAGTGTTCATTTGAAGGCAGTGACACCTCAATTTCATCTACCCATATTCTGTTAGTTGGTACTTAAGTGTCCTTAAAACTGGCACCTTTCTTGAACTTCAGAACAGGCCTGAACACCTCCGCCGAATGTGCAAGGGAGGAGAATTGGAAAAGCTAAATAGCATTTGAAAGTGAGTTCCAAGAGCAGCATCCAGAGGACCCCAAGGCACTTTGTGTAGATTGTTGTAAATAGCCTCTGGATAAAAGCTTACTGAACTGGGAGTTATGATGGAGATGCTTCCAGGCTGAATGCAAGGACCACTAGTTAGTCCACCAAGCATTGATTACTGTGGGCTGCATCTAAACGGTAACTGATGCTTCACCTAAACTGAACAAAATCTTTCACCTTGTGCAGATGATGGATCTGCCCTGAAGAAGTTTCTTGATGAAACCGCTGATCTGACTCCTGAAGAGAGAGCTAAACATTTTGCAAATAATAAGGTACATGAACTACACAAACTCCTGACAGCTGTTGGCACTTAAGGATGTAGTAACCTCTATCTGCTTTCTCTTAAGGCTATTCAAGAAGTCCACAACTCTGTTGCACAAGAAGGACAATGTCGGGTGAGATGCAAATCTGTTAAACTTTGGGAGAAGGAGGTAATGAAGGTTGGAGAGCAATACAGGTTTTTGCCTGGCAGATAGCTGTTCCAGCTCACGAGGAAAGAAACAAGTGACTCGTGGGTCAATGCTTGTGCAAGGTTTCTTCCTTAAATGTGGATTGAAAATTTGGGTCTGAAAATGGGAGACTGCATTAGGATTTTTGGTGCTTGACCTTGTAGAGCTGAACTTTTAGTTTGTAGCCCTTTGTTTATCTCCTCTGTCCTGTAGTCACAAGTAGAGCTCATTACTAGGCTTTTTCCAATCTAACAAATGCATCGAATGGTCTCTCTAAGGTGGAGGACAACAGTGTGAACTTCCACTTCATCCTGTTTGTCAATGTGGATGGGCACCTGTATGAATTGGGTAAGTAGGACTGGGCCTGCTTTGCACTGTACAGCAGCACTGGGGGCTCAGGCTTGGTGCTGGCTGAATCACAGAGTGGTTTGGGTTGGAAGGGACCTTAAAGACCATCTAGTTCCAACCCCCCTGCCATGGGCAGGGACACCTTCCACTAGACCAGGTTGCTCAAAGCCACATCCAGCCTGGCCTTGAACACTTCCAGGGATGGGGCATCCACAGCTTCTCTGGGCAACCTGTTCAGTGCTACACCACCCTCTCCGGGAAGAACTTCTTCCTGATACCTAATCTAAACCTCCTAAAGCAGTACTGGGGGCTCTAAAAGCCAGTATGTGGTTTGTATCTTCACTTGAAGATCGTAACTGAAGGTGCCTTGCTCTGGAGGCCTAGGCCCTCTTGTAACCATGTCATCCCCTGTAGAGCTGGGACCGCTTGGTCCCCTTTTCACACAAGCTATGCATTGACAACTTGTTCTGACCTCCCTGGTATGTTTGTGTGTACTTGTTTCTTGGGCCCGCCATGCTCAGTTCTGCTAATTCAGAAGTAATACGTACACTGAGTGATAGAACTTTCTTTCACAGATGGGCGTATGCCATTTCCTGTAAACCATGGCACGAGCTCAGATGACTTGCTGTTGAAGGTGAGGCTCCCTTGCTCCTTGTCTCCCTGAAAACAAGGCTTAGGAAAGGGCGAGAGGCATGCCTTCAGTGCGTGGTGGCTGTGCCTACTTGCTGTACAAGCTGGTGCTTCTTGCACCACAGTAACAAGGTAGTATTTAGCTATATATCTGTTCAGTGTATTAGCTGGTGCTACAGGACTTTAACTTGGTTGGTGGGACCCAGAGAGGAGCTGCAAAAGACTGGGTCACTACAAGAAGTGTCTTCTGATAGCCTAACCAGCTGCTTCTTTTCCCCTTTCCCAAGGATTCTGCTAAGATTTGCAGACAATTTACAGAACGTGAAAAAGGAGAAGTTCGTTTTTCTGCTGTGGCATTGTGCAAGTCTGCCTGAGAGTCTGAAGAGATGCAAGGAAAGCAGTCTAATAGCACACCAGTAAATGCAGTCTAAACTCCAGTGCTTCAGTTCTTGTTAAACACAGCTGTTCTGGTTACTTAAATTGTTTCCACCTCTTGCTATACACAGGAGCAACATCAGCCGAGCTTATGCTGAAGGATGAGCTCAAGTTTTAATGTGAACGGTTTGGACACATCAGATGTCTTTAGACTCTTTTTTCACATGTTAAGTAGAAAAGGCTTAACAGGGCTTGTTTAATCTGTGTCATGTTAATTGAGCTGTTTGGTTGATATTTCCTTGTCCTTCACGAGAATAAAAATCTTCTGCTGGAAGGCTCTATGGAGTAAAGTGATCACTAAGCTTCTCCGAAAGGAGTTGCGTGGCATCCTTTATAACCCCTGTTTTCCAAGGACCCTCAGAGCTCCCCTCGGAACAAAAAGCTAATGACAGCCTCAGGTTAGCAGAATGGCTTTTTGCAGTGTCTTGAAGGATGGAGAGATGCACCACTGTGCATAACATCCCATTACTGCACTGCCTTCCTGGTAAAGCTCTTCCTAATGTCCAGTCTGAAACTACTAAACTGCAGTCTGCTGCTCTGAATACAATTCTGCTTGTTTTCAGCAGCAGAATGAAATTTTGGGTTCAAGGAGAAAATGCTACATATTCCTTGGCCTCTGCTCTGACCTTATGTAGGAACTATTCTTAGAGTCTAGCTGGTGTTTATCTGCAGCTCCTTGCTGATGGCTCAGGTAAGAAGGGATAAAACACCCTTCAACTTGGGCCTCTCTTCTGATGCATTATGTCCCAGTCTGTGCCTGCCAGCCGTCGGGTACGGTGCTGGGTGCCTGGTGCTCGCTGTGTGCTGCAGGCCCTTCTGGCTTCCAGGAAGGGTATTTTTGAAGGGTAACTCAAAACGTGCGTTGTGAGGTCATGTGTGGTCTGCGGGTGTTTGGTGTTGGGCCCCGTTGCTGCTCATACAATTATGTGGAAGCTGAGGCTAGCAGGGGGGTTGCAACACATCTTAATTGGAATTCTGAGGGTTAGCTAAACCTCAGAGTACTTCCATTCTGAACATCAGTCTCTTGGAGTCTGTTAGCAGGGAGGGCAAAGCTACCTGCGGAGGAAAGGTCTGTTATGTGCCACTCGCGGTTCTCTACAGCCCGTCTTCCTCTGCCTGTTGGTGGAAGCTGTCGCAGGGTGGAGGGAGGCCTCCTGGAGCGTCTCTGCTGCAGCCTCCTGCTCCAGCGCAGGCTCGGAGCCATGCCTGCGGCTCGGGCTGCTTAGCAACCCAGCCGGCAGGAGACGAAGTGCGGGTAGGGTGAGTGCTAAGTCAGCTGGATGAGCTAAGTCAGCTGGATGCCATACCTGGGGGAGCGTGCTTTAATTCTGCAGGGGGCCTCTGCCATGGGCACCTGCCCGAACTGTGCCTCTGTACGGTTACACAGGCAGGCAGGGCTCGAGCGTAGATTCATAGCACCTCTTGGGTTGGAAAAGACCTTTGAGATGACCAAGTCCAACTGTTAACGCTGCAAATACCACCACTGAAGCAATCTAAAAGGGCCTTTGAGATACTACGGTGTTTTTAATAGTGATTGCAGCAGTCAAATGTACGAATCTGCGGGTTTTTTCACCCCCTGGCAATATAAATCTAGTGCTGCTCAAGTTCTTTGAGTATTCCACAAACTTTTTTCACTTCTGTTCAAGTTTGTGAGTTAAGAATCTACCAAAAGGCAACGTTGGAATAATTTTGGCCTCATGGAATAAAAAGGGGGAAAAGGTGGTGACAGACCTTTCTTATTTTCTCACGTTCTTGTCCCAGGTACAGCTGCAAAGGATGGAACTAAAGATAGTAAGTAAGGAGTTAATGTTGAACATCACCAGCAAGGCTGCCTTCCCCGAATAAGACAACCACAGAGGCCTGGCAAACAGCTGGGCTTTCCTCTAATGCAGCCTGGGTAGAAAGGGGAAGAGGAGTTGCTGGGGGTCAGGAAGACCTGGGGAGTTGGGATGGAGTTGCCTCAGGTGGAGATCTCAAAGGATGGGCCGGGGAGATGCGTAAGCTGCATAGGTGGAAGCTTTTGCAATCCTCACAGTGCAGCTGTTCAGGTGTGTTACTGCATTTAGCAGGAAAGTCACAATCCACAAAAGCATGTATTTGTCAAGTCAAACCCACATAGGATAAACCATAACTAAGAAGGAAGATGTTACAAAGTCCTATCAGGTCTGTATAATCAAAATAAATGCCTTTTATGTGCATTTCCCCGGCAATTTGACCTACTTGCAAACTGGGTTTGAATTTTAATCTCTGCCCATTGGTTCACAGTTCAGCAGAAGTGTTGGGACCATGAGGTGTAAACGCCTGTAGGCTCTTTTAGACTGCTGTGAGCCAAAACACAGTGTTTCCGAAGATGCTCTCCCATAATTCAGTATTTTCTGTTAGTCACATCCTGTCTGAAGTGAGGCTCGTGTTTCTTGTCTCTGTTTTCTCCTCTCTCTTTTTATCTTCAGACTGAGAGAGTTGGGCTTGTTCAGCCTGAAGAAGAGAAGGCTCCGGGGAGACCTTATTGCACCTTCCAGTACCTGAAGGGGCTACAAGGAAGCTGGGAGGGACTTTTTGCAAGAGCCTGTAGTGACAGGACAAGGGGTAACGGGTTTAAATTGAAAGTGGGGAGGTTTAGATTGGATATCAGGAAGAAGTTCTTCCCGGACAGGGTGGTGAGGCACTGGAACAGGTTGCCGAGAGAAGCTGTGGATGCCCCATCCCTGGAAGTGTCCAAGGCCAGGCTGGATGAGGCTTTGAGCAACCTGGTCTAGTGGAAGGTGTCCCTGCCCATGGCAGGGGGTTGGAACTAGATGATCTTTAAGGTGCCTTCCAACCCAAACTGTTCTGTGATGCTATCTTAAATCTGTAGTTCCACGTGGAACTGTTAACCTTTCCTTCATTTCCTGTGCATCCTTCTTGATTAAATTAGCTCTTTGACCCTCTCCATTTCTCATCTAAAGACCTACGTGTTTCACCCTTGACTTTTCACTGTGACAACTACTGGGAAAGGTGGGAGCTCTGAAGCCTGTTCTGTGTTTTATGCCCCCTCTGAAAGAAACCAGTGGCTGGGCACTGCTGCTCTTCAGATAGGTGAGGAGTCTAATGAGTGAAACACTTCATTTGAATTCACAGGTTTGAATTAGCAGCCTTCCAGGGGTTGACTTTGACTGGAATGCTCTTGGAAATGGTTGAGGAACATTTAAGAAAATCAGGTAGGATTTCAGGCTTTTCTGTTTAGGCCTGCGCATCACTAATTCAGAACTGTATCCAGGGTTGACTCCCCCCAATCTCGTTTTCTTAAGTTTTCCTCCCTGCTGTATTAAAAGCTGTAGTCAACCTGCTCTGTAGGTGGCAGCATTGGGAAACTTTCAGCGACAAGTCTGGTTTAGGAGCCAGGGGTGGCAAAACAGCTCCAGACGCAATGTTCCTCAACCGCGTTTGCAAAGTTAAGCCCGCAGGTAGTCCTACCGCTTTCAGTGGGGCCGCTCTCCTCCTTAAGCACACTTAGGATTTCAGAGCCAAATATTCCATCCTCGGTTTAGTCAAAAGTTAACTTGGGCGTGATGTAATGTCCAAAGCTTCTTATGCACATGAGTAGCCTTTGGCTTAGGTCCGTGCCTTATTTGCAGCTGATGCAGCACAGCACCTCTTTGTCCAGCATACACCGCAGTACGACGTATGCACTGCTGTTCCCGTGCTGAATAGGATTCCTTCTGGGGGAGCGAGAAAAGTAAGAGTAGGAATAACTCCAGCAGCATCCAGCTTTTGATGCACGGACCAATTTATCAATCTCTAAATATTTAAGTTGGAGAAGCAGTAACCTGAGAAAGGGAACTAGCTGTATCCTCTGATGCAAAGACACCGGGGAGCTCAAGGACCCAGTCCCACCAGCCTTTGTGCTGGCCACAGGGCAGTTAAACAGACTGGCAGTTAAACCTCGTAGTCACAGGATCCCTTTCCTGGTGCCGAGAAGAGGCTGATGACAAGGTGACAGCTCAGTGAGACTGTGGACCAAATGGGAGCAAGTGAGAACTGGGAAAAATGCAGCCAGAAGCTGAGTAACTGCATTCAAATTCCTTTGTGACCAAAAGAATGAAAATATCACTTGCATTTGGTCATTTTTAAATTCTTGCGCAGGGTGATATTAAGTTGCAGGGTGTGGTTGACATTCCAGATGCTTCAAACCGGAGGGACCTCATTAGATGCTGGTGGGGCTGGAAAAAGCCTGGTGGAGTTGGACACGGCGAGGGGCAGAGCACAGCACCTGGCTGGAGCCACCGCCTGTCTGTATGGGCTGGGAGGCGACCGGCCGAGCTGTAGCCCTGCTCAACAGACCCTGGGGCTTATGGCAGGTGCCAAATTGGATATAGGCCCGCGTGTTGCACGCTCGCCCTCTGAGCAAGGCAAATTGCATCCTGTGTTGGGAGTTACACCGGGAGGAGAGGCCAGCAGGTGGAGGGAAGTTATCCATCTCTGCTTGGCACTGGTGAGACTGAACCTGGAATAATGCGTCAAGTTCTGTGTCCGTCCTCCCTGCCCAGTCCAAGAAGGATGTGGAGGAATCTAGAGAGGGTCCAGCAGAAGGCTACCGAGGCAGCTAGAGGCATGGAGCAAGAGGTTGGTGGAGCTTGGGCATGTTTAGTTTGGCACTGAAGAGACTAAGGGAGGATTTAATTGTAGCCTGCAAATACTTCAAGGGCAGTTGCAAAGATGACAAAGCCAATCTTTTTCCTTGGTAGCAGAAGATGGTGTATCAAAGGGCAGTAACCACAGATTACCCTTAGAGGGTTCAGGCTGGGACATTCAGGACCTAGAAGAGAACTTCACTGGGAAGGTAGTACAGTACTAGAACAAGCCATCAGAGAAATGGGGGCATCTCCAGTCCTTGGAAGTTTGCAAGGGAGCAGGATTTAACAATCAGCTTTTGTTAAACTGCCCCAGGTTATCTGTTGCAGTATGAGAAATTGGAAGAGTGATGAGTGTTGTTCCAGCCTTGGGAATGGAGTGTTTTGCTCCTTCACGAGGAGCTAATCCTGAGTCTCCTCTCTGTGCCAGGCCTGGGGAGCAGTTCCCGGCAGGAAGAGCTGGAGGCTGATGCTGACTGCTGCTTTGCTGCTCTGGCTGGGGTGGAAGGGCAGGAATGGCTGCAGGAGCAGCAGCCGATGCATCTAGGGGGAGGTGCAGGTTTTGTCACTGGTGGAAGTGTTGTCTCTTCACAGAGTTGGGGAAAGCGGAGACCAGGAGCAGATCTGAAGGAGCTCTTCCATGGCCCAGGAATCAGAAGCAGAAATAT